TTAGAGTCCCAGCCTAAGGGTTAGAGTCCCAGCCTCAGGGTTAGAGTCCCAGCCTGCGCACAGAGGGTTCCAGTATGGACGCAGGTGCCCCAGCAGTGTCTCGGCAGATGGGATTCCACAGCTTAACACGCACAGCCATGTGTCCTGTTCCAAACACTCCTCATAGACACCGACTGACTGGCTTCCTGTTCCTTTTTAACACACTCTCTGGCTTGTGGTTTAACCCTTTCATTACCAGAACTGGCTGTAGTCAGGGATGGAGGCTCTGAATACAAGGTGACTTTAACGGGACCACCACCTAAACAAGGGAGGGATATACCGTCAATCCCGGACCCATTCCTGGTGTCCTGTACAGGGGGTAAAGGTCCGCTCTAAAGAACAACACAACATGTTCTACAAAGGGCGGTTCTTGAACTTCCAAACTAGAAATATCTTCAGTAAAAGCTCATTTTTCAAACACTGTTTCCTCACAGGATTTATTAGCACACCATCATGGATACTGCATTGTTTCTAAAAACACTTTGGTTATCTCTTTACCCCAAAGATCTGAAAAAACACAAATGTTTAACGGATAAAACGAGTCCAGCTCTAGAGAGGCGCTCGCGTGGGAGAGAGAGAGCGGTCAGGTGTTCGCTGTACCACGTTTGATTTTTATCTGAAAACTATTACAATAAAGTTGGACTCTTACGGATACCGGTTCTTGTGCGGCTGATTGTACAAGGAATTATTAAAGTTTTGGGAGCCCACCATAGCCTGCACCCGAAACACATATCAACCGACAGTCAGAGGTGGGATTGGAGCGGTGAGTTTTTGGTGCACCTGAGTCTAGCTCTAGGTTTTAACACTCCTATTTCTTTCTAGTCCCATAGAGCCTTGGTTCTCAACTGGTGGGTCGTGACCTCAAAGTGGGTCGCGACCTCATGTTCAGCGGGTGTCAGGGGTCTTACCACTCCTCAAGGACGCCATGTGCGGCGGGGGGCACGGGTTCTCCATCCTGACATGGTCCCTGGCGCCGAGGTTGCGGGTGCGCATGCGCGGCCAGTGTGCGGTGGGTCAGACTGCGCACCCATGCACGGGGCACGCGCGTAGTGCGCCTGCGCCCATTGATGGTGTCAGGTGTGATCCCTGCTGGAGATGGTTCCCATTACACGCCCTCTGCATTTCCCCTGCCATTGGCTCCTGGATGGAGAAGCCTACTGGTTGCCGAGGCAGCCAGGGGGTGGTCCTAGTTCCCCACTGGGTATAATAGCCCAGTCAGAGCCCTGACTCATTGCTGAGTTATTCTATCCCAATGGTGCGATCTCCCAGCTCCCTGTTCCTTGAAACACCTTGCTTCCTGAACCTCTATTTGGACTTCCTGTTACCGAACCTTTGGCCTGCCCCTTCGATTCCGAGCCTAGCCGCCCGCCTCGACCCGGATTGGACCAGACTATTCTCCTGGATTTTCCAAGTGTACCGCGACTTCGGACTTGGCTTACCGCCCCTGCCAAGGGGTTCCACATACCACCCAGCCGTACTCCCCTGACAGCGGGCCGCCACATGCTTTCCACTTTTCTAGGTGAGAGGCTCCTCTGCCTCCCCCTAGCACAGCACTGTCAGGTCTTTCGCCAAGCAGTCATTCAAAATATGCTGCTCGGTGCCGATTGTCAGCTTGAGGTGGGGTGGGATGGAGCTCCATCCATATGTGCATTGCTTACAGCTTCCTCACATTCTGGCTCCCGACACCTCTACAGGGCATGCAAGAGAGCTTTACAAGCAATGCACATATGGATGGAGCTCCGCCACAGTATAGCAGATCAAGGTAGGGAGATGGACCTTAACATTTTTTTAGTAGTGTGTACCCTAATTCCGTGCATTCCATTGCAGTGCGACAAGGACAAATGTGGGTCCTGAGGTTACACAGGTTGTGCCGCCCCAATAGGGGCATAGAATATGAGATGCATAGCCTCAGTTAATATTAGCATTGTTATATAGGTTAGAATTTATATAGTGTGATTTGCCTAACTATTTTCTCATAGCTAAATTCATGTGTTATCCTATGCTGCCATCTAGTGGCCTTTTGTTGTAATGTACATGTTTTTCTGTGATTCTTTGTGATGTCTACGATGTATTTCCTCTCTGTATGTAGCCCCACCCTTCTTCCTGTGTGCAGTACTTCCTGTGTCATGGCCACAGTTAAAAGCCACATGTAACAAGGACACACAGGTAATCTGCACAGTACGTAGGAAAGGCATCATTTTCTGACCGCACAATACTATAACCGTTCAACTGCTGTTCCTATCATCTGCTGTAATCCTGTTGTTAAGAATAAACACCTCTTTTGAATGAATCGGTATTGACGAGTTCAGCTATCTGACAAGGATTGTCCGCAGTGAGTATATCTGTTTATACAGGCCAGGCATAGAGGTCTCAGCAAGGGATATATTTTGCTATCACGGAGTCAGAATACAGGTTGAGAACCACTGCCATAGAGCAACCAGGCTTCCATGCAAAAGGAGTTTTATTGTGAGTATGATTGTACAGGATTTATGTAGTATACAGCCAACAGCCAGTGCCTCACATTATAATATAAGGAAGACATTACAATTACAATACAAATTAAGACAAAATAGTTAGGAGAGCCCTGCCCATGAGAGCTTACAGTCTAAAAGGGAGGGGCAAGTGGTATTAGAACTGGTAGCTGTGGAAGGAAAAGAAGGAGCTTATCGCCATTAAAGTGACACTAATCTCCGGAATTCAATCTTAAAAATACATTGAAGTACCCTAATTATGAACAACAATGTATTTTATCTGTGTATCACTCGGCTGTAGATCCTCCAATCATCTATGAATTGGGGTGGACAAAAAAATGAGATTGTAATTATTAGTATTATTACATAGTATTTATATAGCGCCAACAGTTTGCACAGCGCTTTACAATGTAAGGAAGACATTACAATTACAAGGTTGGGGTAAGGAGTTCCAGAGGATGGGAGAGACTCTAGAGAAGTAAGGAGTAGTGGCCGTTGTTTTTAGCGGTTATTAGGTCATTGGTGAGTTTTAGGAGGGCTGTTTCAGTGGAGTGCTGAGGGCGAAAGCCGGACTGAAAGGGGTCCAAAAGGTTGTTATTAGCGAGGTGGCAACTCAGGCAGTTGTAGATAAGGCGTTCTAGTAGTTTAGAGGTGAATGGGAGTAAGGAGATTGGTCTGAAATTATTGAGGTTGGCAGGGTCCAGTGAAGGTTTTTGGGGTGTGAAAGACTGAAAATCTGAGTAAGAGAGTGTAGGATAGAGCTCCAGGGCCCTTTGTTCCTTAGGTCCGCCACTGTCTACAGCCGAGTGATACACAAATAAGATACATTGTTGTTCATAGTTAAGGTTCTTGAATGTATTTTTAAGATCTAACTCCTGAGTTTAGTGTCACTTTAAATGTATCCCAGAGGACTGGATCCGAAGTTAATCGGATGGTATTTTCTTCAAAGAAAAAAAGAGATCTGTTCACTAATAAAGTTCTTGTCTTCTTTTTTTAATCCAGGTTGTCATTTATTCTCCTGATATATTGCTTCGGTTCGATATTTTGTTGCAGTTTTATATTAAGTGGGACACGATTCGGGGGCATGATTCGGCCTATACCAACGTTTTCAGCTGAACACTAATGTGAGAGATGGATACTGTATATAATCAGTTCTAGAATATGTTATGTGGTATGGAGAAGGTGACATCTCTTTGTTTTTGGATGCAGGATACACCAAGAATCGGGTCACTGAGAATGTATTTGCTACTTTTTAATTTTTCTAATACATTTTGTGAGATTTAACTTTCTAGGAGCTCGTTCCTCTCAGAATCCTGTGTTGTACGGGCCTCTGCCCACATATATTCTTTAACAGAAGTACATTTACATAACGTTCACATGCATAAAGGGTGCTCAGCATCGCATAGATACAAAGTAAGTATTCAGCCTCCTGTCTATTTGGTCTGCTTAGACCCTCAGCCTGATGCAGCACAGAGTGAATCTTTTCTCCCAGGTATTGGCCTGGTCAGGTGCCTTTCTAAGAGGCCAGACAGACCTGGACCTTGCATGTCTATCCACACACACACTGCTCCTGCAGCAATCTGACTCCTGAGAAATGAGAGCTGATTAACTATACCAATTGCCTTTTGTGGGTTTAGGATCCAGAGCGCCTCCAGGTGGTGCTGGAGCTAGCCCTGCAGTTCCAGTGCTCACCTGCGGGTGTTTCCCAGCACTTTGCCATCACCTGGTGCTTCCTGGGAGGGCATTTAACCACCTCAGACTTTTCCCCAAAAGTTTCAGTAAATTTTCTGAAATATAGTAAAAAAATAAAACCCCCAGTGGTGAATAAATACCACCAAAAGAAAGCTCTATCTGTGCCCAAAAAATGGTATAAAATTAATTTCAGTACAGCGTTGCATGACGGAATAAATGTCAGTCAAAGTACTGCAGCGCTGAACACTGAAAAATGGCCGGGACAGGAAGGGGGTCTAAACACCTGGTCTTGAAGTGGTTAAACCCTCCCTGCAGTCAGGACGATGGCTCAGTGTTGTTTCCTGTTTCCTGTTTGTCCTGAACCCAGTATCCTGTTTTGAACCTTGTCACCTGTGAATCCTGAACCCTGTTTGAAGTCCTGTTTCATGTGTCTTTTGTTTGCTGTCCTGAGCCTTGTTGTTGGTTGTTGCTATTAGTCTAAGGTGTATATCAAACAGTCCGTGTCACATATTTGCCTTGTCCGTGTGGTCACATGTTTTTGGTCTGCCTGTGTGGGTACCTGCGCAGGTGTGGGGTCACCTGTGCCGGTATCCCAGACAGTGGGGCAACATCCACCTGTCTCCAATGTGTCTTACTCAGGGACCCCTTTGCAGCTGACCCAGGCAGTATCTGCAGGGGATTTCTTTGCTCTGCAGTTGACCATTTGTGTTTACGGTCTGTTGGTCCGGTCTGCTCGTTTTCTTGCTGCTCCTCTTTAGAGGGCTCCACTTTGGGCATCGGTTTGAAGAATAAGGGTTGCTATGGGTTATAAGTTCTGAAAAAGAACAATGAAAATATTCAAATATGTATCTCAAATACAAACAAATTGCATTTTTTTTTTTGCTCAACATAAAATACTTTTCTTGGAGTCCACTGAGGGACACAGGAATTCATTCACCTTCAGGTTATGTTACCGCCTACAGGAGGATTGAACACTACAAACATATAAACTGTAGGCCAGCACAGGATAGTCCCACTACTACCAGCATGCCTCTGTTTTTAAGCAAAGCAGTACCAAGGGCGTGATCATAAACACAGAGGGGTGAGGTCTATATCCCTATCATAGGCCTAGAATGGCAGGCTGATCGTCCAGATGCAGGGTAGTGTACACTGTATTAATAAGGATTGAAGCAACCCTTTGTGGATCTGAGTTAAGTGCAAGATACTGCGGTGCCTCAAAAACAGCCTCTACAGGGATTAACCATTGGGCCTCTGCTGCCTCTGAATCAGGCCCCATTCACACTGAGCGACATGAAAATCGCGCAATTTAATATGTGCAATATTGCGCGACTTGTTGCGCTACGTCGCACAACTTTTTCCTATTGGTCTGTATGCAATCGGGAGCAAAATCGCTTGAAATCCACAGAAAAAAGGGTCATGTAGGAGCCACAAGCTACAGCGACGAGCTACAAGCGATATTGAGCTGTGAGATGTGAACAGCTCCATTGAAATGCATTGGAGGAGCTACATAGAGCGATATCGCGTGGAAATATGAGCGATATAGCTCCAAAAATCACGCAAAAAATCACTCAGTGTGAATGGGGCCTTAGAGATTGTAACAGGGGCCACAGGCCCGGTTTGAATTAGGGGCTCAGGAGGGTCAGAGAAACACTCTGCAGAGGATAATGCCAGAGCATGCCTAGAGCCTCTGTGGACAGAGTGTCCCAGAATCTGAGCACAAGGAAGTCCAGGGTAGACATGGAGGTCCCTGTGTACATGTAGAAAGTTCGACTTGGCATTGCATTGGAGTGCAAGTGACTTCCTGTTATTTATTGACGTGGGTGCAGCATATCACACTGATGCACCCACGTCGATAAATAGACGTATTTGAACTGCAATTGGAGAGCCGGTGTCCCTGTTTCTACATATGCACATAGACAGCGGCTGCCATCTGTTGACACCGCAGCACACACCCTGTCTTTTGTGGAACGAGAGGTCAGGGGTGCGATGGGTTCATGGACTTTCGTTTGACTTCCAGTTTGGACTTGTGTTTTGCGGAGGCATCTGCTGTCACTGCCGCACCCGCCCTGTTTTACCTGGGCTTCCATCCGGTCAGGAGTGCCATGGGATACAGGTTTTTTTTCCCCTCTCGGCTGCCACAGGAGTTCCAGCACAGTGCTGTTCTAGAACTCCTGCATTGGAGATGACAGGTCCCATAAAGAGAACCTGTCACCTCCAAATGCTATCAAACAGGGGCTTGTTAGCTTGTTGCTTGTTAGGTTGGTGTAAATCTGGCCCTGCTGATATGTAGCCTTTTGCCGTCTACCTACCATTTTTTTAGGCACAGCTTCCAGAGTTCAGTTCCTCTTTAAAGGAGAACTATGAGGTGAGTGCTTTTCACTCACCTCATAGTTCTAGCCGACCTGTGACAATGAGACTGTCACAGGTCGGCTCAGTAGATCGGGAGGTGAGCAAACACATACCGGGTTCGCTCACTTCTCGATCCTGTCACGGCTCTCTGCCGTGACAGGGGAGTTGCTGGATTCCCCCCTCCCCACTCCGATCCGCCAGCGCTGACTGGCGGAACGGATGGGGGAGGGGGCGGGTACAGCGGCTCTGCCTCTAGATAGGCAGAGCCAGCTGTCACTCACACAGCTGGGCGGATCTCGACATCAATGTCGGGATCCGCTCCGGCTGCGGCGTCTCAGTATACCGCGAGCTGTAGCTCGCGGTATACTGAGCTTTGGGTGAGCTTTGGGTGCCCTGACCCCATAGTTCTCCTTTAAATCTGATGTGCATATAACAAAATTTAGAAATGTGAAGCCAAAATATCCCAGCAATATCTATTATTCATAAGCAACTTAAACTGAAGACGTATACATACTTCTCAAGACATTTTGAAGAAGGGTCTTTATAATGGAAGTATGGATCTGCTTGAGGCAATTTTTTCAAACACAGCCAGCAGAAGTACTGCCCGCACCTAGTGCACGCCATTTTGTTGCACCCGTCATTTTTCTGTAGGAAGAAAATACATGTTATACATGTAACAAATGAAACGACCTACATACTACCTATGCACTATCCTTGCAATAAGGCCACATCAGAAAGCCAGAGTTACAGATTTAGGATCAGCACACCAGCCAGGTCTTGTGAACCTGTCCCCTGTTCTGCTCTGGTTCCTGACAGTTCCCTCCGTAAGGAGCAGCCTTGGGACTTTCTAACAAACTCTGGTTGACAAAGTCATCGTAGTGGTTAGCACCGGACCTGGATCACCGGATGAAATCCCAGTTAGGTCCCTATCTGCATAAAGTTTGCATGTTCTCTCTGTGATTGTGTGGGTTCCCTCTGGTTTTCTCCTACGCTCCAAAGACATGCTGTAAGACTAAGTGGCTTTTGTCTAAACTGGCCCTGTATGTATGCATGTGAGATAGGGACTTTAGATTGTGAGCTCCTTGAGGGCAGGGACTGATGTGAATGCGCTGCGTAAATTGTCAGCAATACATAAATACCTGTAATGAATAAATTGCAATGTTTATGATAATAGTAAATTCTAAAGCACCATCATCCTTTTTCTGGAATAAAGTAGATGCGTCCCACTTAAAAGAGAACTATGGGGTAAGTGTTTTCCCCCATATTTCTCTTAAGAGTCATGGGAGGACATAAACTAACCTCCTCCTGTGACCCAAAGCTCAGTATATAGCGAGCTACAGCTTGTGGTATACTGAGACGCCGCAGCCGGTACGGATCCCGACATTACTGTTGAGATCCACCCAGCTGTGTGAGTGACAGCTGGCTCTGCCTATCTAGCGGCAGATCCAGCTGTACCCTCCCCCTCCCCCGTCCGTTCCTCCAGTCAGCGCTGGAGGATTGGCGCGGAGAGGGGGGAAATCCCTGCAGGGAGCAGTGAGTGACAGTCACGGCTCTCTGCAGGGAGATGATCGAGAAGTGAGCGAGCGACGGTATGCATTCGCTCACTTCCCGATCTATTGAGCCGACGTGGGACCGTTTCATTGTCACGCGTCAGCTCCAACTACGAGGATGAGTGATTTTCACTCGCCTCATAGCTCTCCTTTACAGATTTAATCCTCTCAATTCAGTCCAATGTTTTAGCTTGATGTAAAAACATATTGTAATAATCTGTTTGTGGAAGCCGGCTTCCCGGCCAATACTTGCTCATTCCATATTCAATCCCTGTCCTCTGGTTTGCAGTGCTATACAATGGTTGTGCTTTATGTCTCTTCACAATCTGAGTCTACAAGTCGGCTGTCTAAAGGCTGGACAGACGACAGATGCAAAAAGTGCGAGTTGGCTGAAAGCTTTCTCCGGCCTCTATCCTGCCCTGTATGCCTTTGTCAGACTTCCGCTACTTACATGAATCTTGACTCTACAATTAGGACAGAGCTTGGTGTTCTCTTTTATCCACTTCTTACTCTCCCGTTCTTGTGTTCCCTTCCGGAGGGCTCCCTTCCCAGGTGTCTTCTTTTCGTCTTCCGGCGATGTTGTCGCGGTATACTGTATGTAGCCGAAGCTACAGTACATACAGTATTACCGCACATCCATACCCGGCGTATAAGACGACCCCCGATTTTCGGGGGATGTTTTTAGGTCTAAAAACTCGTCTTATACGCCGGCAAATACGGTATAATATAATGTATGTGTCTATACAGCGCCGACAAATTACGCAGCACTTTACATAGTTGCACATTCTCTTCAGTCGCTGCCCTCCAGGAGCTTACACACAATGGTCCCTTTCCCACATGCATACATACAAAGGCCAATCTAGACCGGAGCCAATTATCCTACCAGCATGTCTTTGGAGTGTGGGAGGAAATTCATGCAAGCACAGGGAGAACATGCAAACTCCAGGCAGATAGTGACTGGGATTTGGAACCAGGCACCCCCAGTGCTGCAAGGCGGAAGTACTGACCACTACGCCAATGTGCTATAAAAGAGTTATTATATAATTAACTTTGCATGAATGAGAGAATTTATGTATTAATTGCATTAAAGATGCTGGGATAAAATAATTAAATATTAAGAATGATAAATATTATAATATTAATATCAAAGTAGATGTAAACTGTAACTGAATAATGTCGTACAAGATATACAGGGGGGCGGGGTTTAAATGTGAGGTGAAAGGTCTAACTGAATAATGTTTAGTTGGCTGAAGAATTCTGCTATATATATTATTTCTGTTATAAAATATTGTTTTACACTTTTTATTTCATCTTCTGTAGCGATGGCTGCATGGCATTTCTTGGCGGTAGGTTTTCTGATGGTGGCAACAGTAGACCATGCCTGTGCAATGCTTGTTAAAGTGACACTAAATGTCCTTCCTTCTGGAGGGGGGCTACTATTGTTCCCCATGGTCCCTGTGTGTGTTGTAAAGTACTCAGCGCTCCAAGCACACTCCCCCTCGGGATGGGCTACAATCTTAATACAAATTAGTAAACTAAACATGAGATGGTAGTCCATCACAGGAGCGAGCTTGGATTTCATCTGGATTCCCTGGCTCTTTAAACATGTTTTGAATATTAGGAAACTGTTGGGCGTTCCATTTTCTGCTGAAATATGGGTCCTCTGATGGTTGTTGCTTTAAAGTGACACTGAACTCAGGAGTTAAATCTTCAAAATAAATTCAGGTACCTTAACTATTACCAAAAATGTATCTTATTTGTGCATCACTCTGAATTACACTTATCTCTGCGCTGTCTTTTCCTTCAGACAGCTCTTTACAAAGCGGAAAGAGAGCACGGCAGTCCTGGTAAAGTGACATCAACTTAGGAGTTAACTCATTCAAGAAATACATTCAAGCACCTTATCTATGAGCAACAATGTATCTTATTTGTGTATCACTCGGCTGTAGATCCTCCAATCATCTCTGAATTGGTGCTGACACTGTCCTTCCTTCTGGAGGGGGGCTACTTGTGTTCCCCATGGTTCCTGTGTGTGGTGTAAAGTAGTCACCGCTCCAAGCTTCCCCCCCAGGATGAACTACAATCGCAATGCAAATTAGTAAACTAGACATGAGATTGTAGTCCATCCCGGGAGCGAGCTTGGAGCGGTGACTACTTTACAACACACACAGAGACCATGGGGAACAGACGTAGCCCCCCTCCAGAAGGAAGGACAGTGTCGGCACCAATTCAGAGATGATTGGAACATGCTGAAGCGTATATGGAATTTTAGTGATTGGCCTTACATATGTTAATTTATGAAAAGCCCAAATTAAAAACAATGTCCAGCTTTCTGGGTTCCCTTTTATCGTGCTAAAGATAAAGAATTGTACAACAAGAGAAAAATATGGCATCAAATGATTGAGAATGAATCTGCTTCACCACCAATGGGGTGCTCCCTTCCTCCCAGATTATACAGTTAAACATTGGAAGCTCCAGGAGCAAGTATGTCAGTGCTTTCAGAGATCCCAGCACTGCACAAGCCCAAATGCTGCTGTCACCAAGCACCAAGTGACCTTGCATATCACATGCTTCTTTATAATTGGGTTACCTGGATCACGGGGTTCATTGAGTGAAGGATCCGTGGGTTCCTCGGGTTCTACTAAAAAATGAAGTTAATGAGTTGAGTTGTGACGGAGATCCTCTCTTCAGGATAGAGAGCGGGGAGCAGAGCGGAGAACGTCTGTTCTGCGCTCTGCTCCGTGTGAACACTGAGACGGAAGAGCTGCACTCGCAGCATTCTCTCCTCTCAGCTGTCACGGGAGAGCCAGCACAGTGCTGTGCTCAAACTCCTGTATTGGAAGTGACAGGTTCCATAAAGAGAAGCTGTCACCTCCAAAACGCCCACTTAGCAGAACTTAGACATTGTGTCAACAGAAGACCAGGCAGCAGAACATTAAGGAAATATTAACTTGATGCCAAAAAGCCCAAGAGGCATGCACAGATCTAGTTGAGTTCGCCTTGACAGAGAAGGGTGACATCGATCCTTATGTCCATAAGCTTGAATAATATTGTGTCTGAGCCATCTACAGATGATGGAATGAGAAGCTGGTATGCCTCTTTGGGGACCATCAGGGAACACAAAAAGGGAATCAGACTTTTTGAATGAAGCAGAGGCTGAGAGAACCACATCCAGGCAAAGGAGGGACTACCTATAGGTAAGAAGGAAGTCCTGTGCCTTTAACAACATTGTGTCCCTATGCAAAACCAGACAAGGTTTCTTGCGTGATAAGGCCGCCAGTTCAGATACTCTGCTTGAAGAAGTGATGGCTACAAGGAACACATGAGTGAGAGTAGAGGTAGGAAAGTTCATACAATGGTTTCCAAAGCCCATGGCATCTTAGGGGAATGAACAGAGGGAGCTACGTGTAGGGACTTCCCTGTACAAGCGTCTTAATCAAGGAATGAAAAGCCAACATTCTCCGGAACAAAATAGAAAGGGTAGAAACCTGACCTTTCTGAGCGCAAAATGCTGGTCCAGACCCAGCCGCAGGAAGGCGAGGATTCCTTCCACAGAGAAACTCCAAGGGTTCAAGTCCAAGGCCTCACACCAAGTGATGTAAGTATTCCATAAGCGATGATAGACCTTGAAGGAATTAGACTTCCTAGCTTTAAACAACAGGAGAATCCCCATTTTGGAGAGTCCACTGTCACTCAGAACCTGGGCTTCAAAAGCCATGCCGTTAAAGCCAGTGACTGAAAAAGCAAGATGGTAAAGTGGTCCTTGAGACAGAAGATCTGAACAATCTGGTAGAGCCCACGATGGGGCCACCAGGAGCCCTAGCAGGTCATCCACCTGGGGCAATTCGGAGCACTGAGGATCACAGCAATGTCCTCCATTCCAATCCTGTGAAGCAGATGAGGAAAAAGTTTCAAGAGAGGAAATGCATTGATCAGGGTCAACTGAAACCATGAAGTCACCACAGCATCCACTAGAACATCCCTGTTCCTGGAGACAAACGTGTCCAGTTTGTTGTTGAACCTAGAAGCAAGAAGGTTGATATCCAGCATCCCCCACCTCTGACACAGGTCCTGAAACACCTCCAGGTATAAGGACCATGTCTACTCAGCCATAAGTATGCAAAATGGTGAGGCACTGAGGTGGACCACAGCTTCACCTAAAGACTAGAACAGGGGAAAGCAACCTTGCCACTCCAGCTGTGGTGAAACAACAAATCCCATCATGTCTCTGCCTCTGGGAGTCACACCTGTAGCTGTAAGAGTATTGCAATACCTCATGGGATTTGTAGTTTCACCAGAGCTGGGGTGCCAAGGTTGTCCACCACTACCTTAGAGCCCAGCACCAGCAAAACAAGAGAGAAGAACAAAGTATATCGTAGACAAGATGGGTCGTTTGGGTGTAGCTGTTGAAGTTGGGGGGGTGTCAACAAGGGTACAAGGGTCATTTAGTCTAGCCGGTGGCCATGAAAGAACCTACACCAAGACGTCACTGTCATCATAGATACATTGATCTGCCCATTTGAAAGAAGACAATCACAAAACGCCTAGGCTTGTTCTGGAACTATGAACTCCAGGATAAGCAAATATTGTCTTAATATTGACTTACTTGTATCTTGGTGTATTTCTTCCAGATCTGTGCAGGAATTTACTGTAATAAAGACCAGTCACTGCTGCTGCCTCATCTTGTACAGGGTGATTGGTCTTGTCTCCGCCCCTTCTGTATATTTCTGCAGGCAGCCTGTAGCGGGTGGGGTCTACTGGGTCCCTCCCACAGCTCTGCTCTCTGCACAGGCTATGTGCAGCACAAAGTAATATTTGGGTTTATAAAGACATGCGACGCACACAAAGTGGATTTATATACTTTGTGATTATTGGATAATATATTTAAATACGAGTTTGATTGGCCGGAGTTCAGCTTTAAGTATCTTGCCATAGCTGCCCATGAAGCAAAAAGCGAACCTAACAGCATCCCTAAACGTCATCATATCTTCGTTACAAAGCCAACATAGACTTACATTCTGTTCCTTTGCATGGGGAGAGTCCGTGGTAGGTCAGCATACAAAGGGTACAAAAAGCATACTGGCAGCTTGTGCAAATACCCATTGTGCCCTCTGGCTCTTGCATTACGGCCGTCTCGCACCCTGGGCGAGGGCAATACACCACATCGGTCATCATATCCAAAGTGGACTGAAGAAGGAGACGATCATAGCGGCTGAACAACTGCTCCCCTACCAGATCTTTTACCTGCAAAGGACACAAATTGACACTTTTATGGAGTATTAATATCAACTGCTTTCTGGATCTACAATTACACCATTCACAGAATAGTAACTCTAAAATCTGGAGTCTTGTACACGGATGCCTGGGGTCCATATACAGGTGAAACTCGAATAATTAGAATATGGTGCAAAAGTAATTGCAGTAAGTGCTGCAAAAGGGGCCCAAACCAAGTACTGAGTACATATGCATGCTTGTACTTTTCAGGGGTCCGATATTGTTCTATGTACAATCCTTGTTTTATTGATTGCATGTAATAATCTACTTTTCTGAGGTTGTGGATTTGGGGTTCTTGGGGTTTTCATGAGCTGTAAGCCATAATCATCACAATTATGACAAATCACGGCTTGAATTATCTTGCTTTGCATGTAATGAGTCTATCTCATATATTAGTTTCACCTTTTAAGTTGCATTAGTGAAATAAATGAACTTTGCACGATATTCTAATTATTCCAGTTTCACCTGTAATGTAAATGCGTAAAGCCATACGCCCCTGGATGCAGGCTGTCTGCATCCGAGGGTTGTATTTCCATATGCATGCTTACCCGAGTATACCTCGCTAGGGGGACACAGAGCCGATCCGGCTGCCGGCACCCAGCAGGCAGGAGAGAAACTGTCAGGAGGCCGAGTGGGGCAATGAGGGGAGGATAGCTGGGCTCCGGTGACAGGTGGTAGGGGGCATTACTATGTCCCCATTTATGAATGAACAGGAAGTGCTATGCATTACTTACGGTTCATTTATGAATGGGGACATAGTAAATATTTACTATCTGTTCACTTTATGAATGAACAGGAAGCAGCTCAGTACAAAGGTGTGGGTTAATGGAGAACAATGAGGTCAGGGCTTTTCACTCATCTCATAGTTCTAGCCGACCTGTGACAATGAGACTGTCACAGGTCGGCTCAGTAGATCGGGAGGTGAGTGAACACGTAACGGCGTTCGCTCACTTCTCGATCCTGTCACGGCTCTCTGCCGTGACAGGGGAGGGGCTGGTTTCCCCCTCCCACTCCGATCCACTAGCTGACTGGCAGAACGGATGGGGGAGGGGGCGGGTACAGCTGGCTCTGCATCTAGATAGGCAGAGCCAGCTGTCACTCACGCAGCTGGGCGGATCTCGACATCGATGTCGGGATCCGCTCCGGCTGCGGCGTCTCAGTATACCGCGAGCTGTAGCTCCCTATATACTGAGCTTAGGGTGACGGGAGGACGCTAGTTTGTGTCCTCCCGTTACCCTAAGGAGAACTATGGGGAAAAGCCCTGACCCCATAGTTCTCCTTTAATAGCAAACATTTACTACCTCCAGACTGTGAATGAACAGGAAGCCTCTGTACTGAGTGATGTGAGTGACGGGGCTGCAGAAAAAGAGATTGGGCACTTTGCGTCCTCAATTTATTTTTCTATTTTAAAGAGAAATATCAGGGATCTGTTTAGGCTCCTAATATTTCACCAACACTTTTAAAGGAGAACTAGGAGGGGAGTGATTTTCTCTCAACCTCATAGCTCGAGCCGACGATGTGACAATGAAACTGTCACACATCGGCTCAATAGATCCGGAAGTGAGCGAACACATACCGTCGCTCGCTCACTTCTCGAGCATGTCCCTGCAGAGAGCGGTGACTGTCGCTCACGGCTCCCTGCAGGGATTCCCCCTCCCCGCTCGTATCCTCCAGCACTGACTGGCGGAACGGACGGGGGAGGGGGCGGGTACATCTGGCTCTGTCTCTAGATTGACCGTTGGCTCTGCCTATCACACAGCTGGGTGGATCTCGACAGTAATGTCGGGATTCGTCCCAGCTGCGGCGGTCTCCGTATATCGTGAGCTGTAGCTCGCGGTATACTGAGCTTTGGGTGACGGGAGGACGCTAGTTTATGTCCTCCCGTTACCCTAAGGAGAGCTATGGGGAAAAACACTAACACCATAGTTCTCCTTTAACAGTAAAGTAAAAAAAAGTTTTGGTCTAAAAATGTAATTCCGGTGCATCCCTACGAGGAACCGATGGGTAGGCATCACTGCACCAGCCCTGTAACCTCTCTGCAGCTCTGCGATGGAGGTAACAACCATGGATTACAATAAGGCGCACATTACAGTATTGGTTTATGTTAACAAATCTGAGTGTTTAATGTCACTTTAAGTAGTAGGATCTACTTAGTGTGCTCTGCATGTACGTTGTGGGATAGAAATGCCATAGCAAATTGATGCCCGCATGGCAAGTATGGAGTCTCAACGTCAAAGAATAAAATAAACAGGTTACCTGAGCAGGTGTAGCAACTGACGTGCACTTGGACTCGGGACAATTCAGCGCACGGACCTGCCCTTCCACGATTTGAATCTCAAAGTAATCTCCGAGGCAGCCATTGCAGTAAACGTGGCTGCAGTCCTTAAAATACGTGCACTCGCTGCCCAGCTTGTCAGAGAAACAGATATTAATGGATATGTTGTATTGCCTAGAATTAATTTCGTGTACAACATTTATTGCTAGATGAATCCATGATCCCCCTGAGGAAGCAATATGCGAAACGCGTTGGCGCTGGATACAACACTCTCCATTTGCACATAGATGCGGTATCAATAATACTTGAATTATGGGGATGTGATATCATTTATTACATATGTGCTCTTGATAATAGGAAGGGTGCCATTGTGTCAGGAAGCAGGGGGTGTTACCTCTACTCGGGGACCACGGGCACGGCGCAGGGCACAGGTTCCCCTTCAGCTCGGTAGAACACCTGGTGCCCGAGGTGCAGGTGCGCATGCGCGAGTCACGCGACGTGTGCGCATGCGCAGTACGCAGGCTGCGCGCGCATCCCCGGGAGCATAGCGTTCCTGCATCATCTGGCTATAAGGTGTGAGCCTTGCTGGGGGAGGTTCCCAGTACACACCTTCCATCTTCCTCGCCTGCCATTGGTTCCCGGGGAGGGAGGCCTCCTGGTTGCCTCGGTGACCAGGGGGTGGTCCTACCTCCCCTGGCTATAAAAACCTGGCCTGAGCTCTGGCTTATTGCTGAGTTATTCCACCTTATGGTGAACACCTAGCCTCCCTGCTGATCCTCCTATTGCCTGTTGCCCCTTTGTATCCTTCCCGATTACCGACCCTTGGACTGTCTTCCGCCTTTGAACCTTCGCTGCCTGCCTCGACCCGGATTGGACATTGACTACCCCTCTTGGATTATCCCTAAACTTGTACCGCGTTTCTGGACTGTCAGCTGCTTACTGCCAGTGGGTTCCTCATCTCACTACTAGCTCCCTGGAACGTCTGACACATTGTTAGATGAATTGTTATACTCATGATTTTATACTATTTATTTAAAGTGCAATAAACTTTATATTTTTAATACAATGTATCCATGCAGTGATTGTACACCTCTCCAAAAAACCCCGGTAATCTACTTGTTGCAATTGATACAAATGTAGGGTGGAGAGGTTGCATCAGGAGACCGCTATGATAGCGATTCACGGGTGTGTTCTTATATTCTATGAGTGAATGCTGTACCTGTGCCGGCGAAAGCCACTTGCAGCTGAGTGTGAAGATGGGGCACATAGTGGAGGGGTATCCTGGAGGAAGTTCAAAGTTCAGGACAATTGGTGGTAGAAACAAAACTATGTCCTCAAAGCTTTCCAGTATGGAGTTTGTGGCAGCGTCGGCTAAAGACAATGAGATTATTAAAAGAACATTATAAGCTATCACACGCAGGGCTTTCCTGTTTCCTTATACAAGTGGTTAGTGAGAGAAGGAACCCCTTACACTGGTGGTCTGTGAGAGAAGGAACCCCTTACATTGGTGGTTAGTGAGAGAAGGAACCCCTTACACTGGTGGTCAGTGAGAGAAGGAACCCCTTACATTGGTGGTCAGTGGAAGAAGGAACCCCTTACACTGGTGGTCTGTGAGAGAAGGAACCCCTTACATTGGTGGTCAGTGTGGTGACCCCTGGCATTGAGGGTCAGTGAAGGGCCTCCTTACCTTGATAGTCAATGGAAAAGTTCATTTTTATTTTGGTGGTTAAAAAAGAAGATGCCCCCTGACATTAGTAATGAGTGTAATGCTCCCTTACATTGGTGGGCAGTGAAATAAGGAACCCCTTGCACTGCTGGTCAGTGAGAGAAGGAACCCCGTACACTGGTGGTCAGTGGTAGAAGGAACCCCTTACACTGGTGGTCAGTGAGAGAAGGAAACCCTTACACTAGTGGTCAGTGGTAGAAGGAACCCCTTACACTGGTGGTCAGTGAGAGAAGGAACCCCTTACACTGGTGGTCAGTAGAAGAAGGAACCCCTTACACTGGTGGTCAGTAGGAAACGTTACCCCTTATATTGATATGAGAGGCTCTCCTTTTACACACAGCTAAAAAGACCAATGGTGACAGTGGTTATTTACCTGAGAAATAGGAGGCTCAACTGAGCCCACACCACTGGCTCTGCCGAGTATTGTTGGTGCCAGTCCTCTGCAGACAAAGCCAAACCCGTCCACCACTGCTCAGTGAACCCCTAACAACTTCTGGAGGAACCCTAGTTGAGAAAGGGGGCTGTATACCATTAGAAGGTGGCTCCATTGCAATCAGTTGCAGCATACCAGCCATGAGCTTAGTACACACATTAGTAAGCGTTCAGTCTAGACGTAATACGCGCATTTTATCTCACTTACATTTAACAGATACTGTAAAATTTGGGGGAAGTTCCAGACACACTTTGATCTCCCCTCCTGGAGCAGTGTCAGCTCTCTTAAACTCATCTTCAGAGTATATACTGCTGAGGGCTAGCAGTTCTTCCTCCTGGGCTTCCTGATTTCCTGCAGACATGGTTTATCTGTGGAGGTCATAAAACAAGAGTGTTACCATTTCAGTGAGTCTGCCATGAACACCCCGGACACTGCACACAGAACACTTCATCATTCAGTAGAAAGTGCAACGCACCCTGCAGGGGTTACCTGCTCATTCCGTCAGTGAGTTGAGGAATGAGCTGTAATACTCACCTTATTCCTCGTTCCAGAACCTTCCTCCATGTTGTGCAATTGGTTACCAAAACCTCTAGAATTTCGACCCAAACAGGGGTCCAACCATGGATCCATTTGCACCAACTATGGATCCATTTGGTTATAGTTTTCCCTCAAGTCCCCATTGCATTCTTCTAAGGCTTGATGGAGGGGAACTTTGGTTGCCCCCCAAAAAAGTTGGCTGCTTTCATGTGATGGTATTACCAACAATTAAAGGCACTTAGGACTCTCCCGCTTTGTGTCTTGGATGGAGACCTTTTTTAAAGCTACATTTTGAGTTGTATTCCTTGCTCCGGCAGCCTTCCTCCACGTTGTGTGACCGTTCCCCTACAGTCTCTTCATCAAGGCGCTCATGCTGATGGTCACGTCAGTACAATCCATCTTGCCATGAAGGTCTTTGTTTGGGGAGCTTCCTGTTACGGGGTGACACATAGGGACGGGGTTTGGGTTCTCCGTTACCTTGGGTTCAAGGTGAATACTGCGGATACAAGTTCTTCATTGATAAGACCTTTTTTTAATTTTAGTTGTTCAAAGCACAGCACTTAGACCCCCGTTTACACCAGGGCGGTTCAGTCGCGTGGATTTGTCCATGCTCTCTTGTATGAATGATCTCAGGATGCTTTACTGTTGGCATGACACAGGACTGATGGTAGCACTCACCTTTTTTTCTCCAATCCCTGTACCATTTGTAGAATACCAGTCTGTCCCTGAGATGTTTTTCCGGGAGAGAAGAGGCTTCTTTGCTGCCCTTCTTGACTCCGGGCCATCCTCCAAAAGTCTTCCCCTCACTGTGCGTGCCGATGCACTCACACCTGCCTGCTGCCACTCCTGAGCAAGCTCTGCCCTGGTGGTGCCCCGATCCCGCAGCTGAATCAACTTTAGGGGACGGTCTGAGCGCTTGCTGGACTTTCTTGCTACAGTCCATGTACCCATTGCACTCCTGACCGCTCGTCCATCAGAATGACATGGGTGCTCTGTAGTCGACGGATGACCACCGTCCTGATGAAGGGGATCCTGTGTGACCCCGAAATGTCGCACTAATTGTATTATGCTACTTTTTTGCATGTACGTCATTAAATAGACGTATTCTATCTGCTTTTGGAGTGCCGGTGTCCATATTCTTTTGCTGGACTCTCTTGGGCGCCATGAAGCCTTCTTCACAGCAATTGAACCTCTCTCCTTGAAGTTCTTGATGATCTGATAAATGCCTGATTTAGGTGCAATCTTTGGGTGCCCACACACCTTACGATAATCGTACGATAAATCGCGGGAAATCCCGCGACCGTACGATTATCGTAAGGTGTGTGGAAGCCCTGCGACCTCTACTACTGTAAGGTCGCACGACTTTAAACTTACGAACATGTTCGAAAACCCGCCGAGCATCGTACGATGTTCGGCGGGTGTGTAGCATGTTCGTAAGATAAAAGCCGGACGGGCCGGTGTGCGCAAGCGCACACTGCCCGTTCAGCTTTGCGGTCATCGGAAGCCCGCCCCTCAGGGGGGCGCGTCTTGCGATCATCGCAAGTACGATCTGCCTGTCCAAGATAGGCAGATCGTACGTTTTTTTAAGTACCTTACAACCATGGCAAGACAAAAGTCTTGCCATGGTTGTAAGGTGTGTGCCCAGCATTAAATGTAGCAGCGATATCCTGGCCTGTGAACCCCCTTTTTGTGCAAAGCAATGATGACGGTACGTGTTTCCTTGCAGGTAACCATGGTTACCAGAGGAAGAACAATGATTTCAAGCACCACCCTCCTTTTAAAGCTTCTAGTCTGTTTTTCTCAGTCAGCATGACAGAATGGTCCCAAGCCTTGTCCTCGTCAACACTGTGTTAAGGAGAGAATCAATGGCATGAAGTCAGCTGGTCCTTTTGTGGCAGGGCTGAAATGCAGTGGAAATATTTTTTGGGGATTACGTTTATTCTCATGGCAAAGAGGGACTTTGCAATTAATTGAGATTGATCTGATCACTCTTCATAACATTCTGGAGTACATGCAAATTTCCATCACACAAACTGAAGCAGCAGACTTTGTGAAAATTAAAATTTGTGTCATTCTCAAAACTTTTGGTCAGGACTGTACATCATATAGCTCCGCCTCCTGATTGCTAGGAGACAACGGGGATGAACGGTCCAGTCGCTGTAGGTAGCAGGGGCGTGGCCAGCCGTGTGTAGGAAGTGTATGACTTCATTGCAATTGACAGCTCACTAGGTCTGCCCCGCCCACTTTTTCATTCCCAGGTTCCCCCTATGCTGTGTATACGGGGTCCCTCTATGGCAGCGCCGCTGTCCGGTCACATGAGCCCCTTCATCGGGCTGATCGGACATCACACCCTCGGCTCTGCCTGGGATCAAAGTTCGGCCGGTGTACAGGTGATGCCGGAGATCGGCATGTCTGGGCTTGTCAGGTGTCAGGAATCTACCGGCACCGGACGAGCGATGACACACACAGAAACCATCCCCACGCCCCCCGCGCTGTGACATACACCGACCTGGAGAACACAGACGAGCGATCTTCACCGATAATCAGCGATAATGAGCAAAGTTCTGATGACAGTTACACCCGGACAATGACCGGCCACAGCGCCACCTAGGGGACAGAGACCGGCCGACCCGCCCGATGGAGGATGAGTCATCTGGGTGCAGCCGGGGATGAAAGGGCGATATGCCAAACTAGTAAATAACAGGACCGACAATAACAAGAGAGGGGACACTAAACTAGGGGACACCGAGCTCAGGAACACCAAGCAAGGGGACACCGAGATCAGGAACACCAAGCAAGGGGACACCGAGCTCAGGAACACCAAGCTAGGGGACATCGAGATCAGGAACACCAAGCTAGGGGACATCGATATCAGGAACACCAAGCTAGGGGACATCGAGATCAGGAACACCAAGCTAGGGGACATCGATATCAGGAACACCAAGCTGGGGGACATCGAGCTCAGGAACACCAAGCTGGGGGACATCGATCTCAGGAACACCAAGCTGGGGGACATCAATGTCAGGAACACCAATCCAGGGGACATCGATGTCAGGAACACCAAGCTAGGGAACATCGATCTCAGGAACACCAAGCTGGGGGACACTGATCTCAGGAACACCAAGCTGGGGGACATCAATGTCAGGAACACCAAGCTAGGGGACACTGATCTCAGGAACACCGAGCTGGGGGACATCGATGTCAGGAACACCAAGCAAGGGGACACCAAGCTCAGGAACACCAACAAGGGGACACCGAGCTCAGGAACACCAAGCTAGGGGACATCGATCTCAGGAACACCAAGCAAGGGGAAATCGATGTCAGGAACACCAAGCAAGGGGACACCGAGCTCAGGAATACCAAGCTGGGGGACACCGAGCTCAGGAATACCAAGCTGGGGGACACTGATCTTAGGGACACCGAGCTCAGCAACACCAAGCTAGAGGACACTGAGCTCAGGAACACCAAGCTAGGGGACATCGATCTCAGGAACACCAAGCTGGGGGACATCAATGTCAGGAACACCAATCTAGGGGACATCGATCTCAGGAACACCAAGCTAGGGGACATCGATCTCAGGAACACCAAGCTGGGGGACATCAATGTCAGGAACACCAATCTAGGGGACATCGATGTCAGGAACACCAAACTGGGGGACACTGATCTCAGGAACACCAAGCTGGGGGACATCAATGTCAGGAACACCAAGCTAGGGGACACTGATCTCAGGAACACCAAGCTGGGGGACATCGATCTCAGGAACACCAAGCTGGGGGACACTGATCTCAGGAACACCAAGCTGGGGGACACTGATCTCAGGAACACCAAGCTGGGGGACACTGATCTCAGGAACACCAAGCTGGGGGACACTGATCTCAGGAACACCAAGCTGGGGGACACTGATCTCAGGAACACCAAGCTCAGGAACACCAAGCAAGGGGACACCAAGCTCAGGAACACCAAGCTAGGGGACCCCGAGCTCAGGAACACCAACAAGGGGACACCGAGCTCAGGAACACCAAGCTAGGGGACACCGAGCTCAGGAACACCAAGCTGGGGGACACTGATCTCAGGAACACCAAGCTGGGGGACACCGAGCTCAGCAAAACCAAGCTAGAGGACACTGAGCTCAGGAACACCAAGCTGGGGGACATCGATGTCAGGAACACCAAGCTAGGGGGACACTGAGCTCAGGAACACCAAGCTGGGGGACATCGATGTCAGGAACACAGGAAGTGAGGAGGACATGGCATTTCTTTCACGGCTAAAACATTACAAAATGTCGTGCGCACTTTCCATCCAGCTGGTCAACAGAAAACCAAACGAAACATTTTCAACTGCTCGGGTGATTGTTGAACAGATTTGCAAACACATGTAAAGCCGCGTCTCTGGAACGTGTGATCCCTAACTCAGAACTATTTGAGACACCAACTATGAGATAAAGTATATAAATAGAAACGCACAATGCACGCATGTAGAGCAGATCTGTATACAGTAGAAGAACATTTGGCTTTCTGTAGGTCTGTGCCATAAAGAGTTGTGTGCCGGAGACGCTGTTCTAGACATTGAACGGCATTATTGTCCACTACGGAGTCAAACTTGTTGGCAAGCAGATGATGTTGCCGTATCATCTTCTGTAAGTTTGACGTCATCTGACAGGTGAGCTATGATTGGGCATCACGACTTTGCCCAATCATGGCTCTAACAGAGTACTGAGCCCTGATTGGGCAAAGTCTTGCACCCGACCCGTGGTCAGGTGCAAGCCTTTACCCAATTAGAGCTTCAGAAGGCGCATTGCCTTGTGGGATGTTGCACGGTCGAACAGACAGCGAA